GGGAGTGTTCTTGCACAGCACAGACCAGAGCACGACGCTCTCCTGACCCCAGGGCCAGCAAGAAGCACGCGTCTATCGTCTGTCATATGTGCGTCCTGCGTCCTCCCACACGCACAGAGGTGTATTTCTGCCTGTGTCTCGCGCTTACTGTACAAAGCAGCCACGAGAAGCAGCACTCGCAGAGCTACTGGATCTGCAGGACGCACAGTACCTGGGACTCTTGTCTAGTGTGGGATCTGGAGTCCGTGCGGGACGCAGCTGTGGAGCTGGTGGACGAAGCGATTGTTCTCTTGCCACTGGGAAGGCATCCAAGAGGCACTGGGTCTGAACCAAAGGCCAGCGAACAGGCAGGCAGGTTGGCAGAACGTCAGCATTGTTCCCAGCCCCACTGCTTTCTGTAGGGAGCGCTGTCCGCTGGGCTGTGGTGCTGAAAAATAACACCTAAGCAAGCTACTGTATGTGGAACTCAAGTACAGGGGATTCAAGCAAGCTGAGAGACAGTGAATCCAGTACTCAAACCAGTATTTATCAAACACGTGGCTGATTATAGATTCCTGCATTGTTCAGTTGAAGTAAAATATTGCCGTGACAGCAGGATGACGCATAATTGTACCAGTAGCACCTTTTGTCGAGAAGTGAATCCACTATTACAACTATTACAACAGTATAGCTGCAGATGTTTCAGGATCATCCGCAGGGGCAGGGCTCAAGTCGGATCCCTGCCCTGCTTCTATGAGGGTGCGCATCAGTAAAACCCCGATTATAAATACATGTACCGTACCTGGAGGCTGTGCATTTTCCGAGCCTGCTGCGCCGCACAGAGAAAAAAAAAGGCCACTGGAGATCCAGCGCTCGCAGACTGCAGTTCTATCAGCAGTCACAAAAGTGCAGACTCGACAGGCCTGACTTCGGATCATCAGCCTCGGTCCTAAACTTGAGATAACGAACTCGCCCGTGTCTCGGGGCCCCCCGATGGTGAGGGTTTGAGCGATGCCTTCTGTATTCCTACCGCTTGGAAGGCGAGATAAGTTACCGCCTGCGGAGAAGGACGACAGCTCCGCGGGAGGGTGCACAGCCTCCAGATTGCAGCGAGATGTGTTGCTCTGCTGTGCTGCACAAGCTCCTGTTGGGCTGTGGGCTCTCCGCTCCACCTGGGGCTGTGGAGCCTGGATGCCTCTGTCCAGTGCAAATCCAAACTCCTCTTCAAGTGCGTCTCAGTCACGCCATAATAAACAGGCATGCCTCTACTTCCCTGCAAAAGCAAGTCATTGTCACCGACTGACAGCCATGTACAAGCTAACAGTGGCCAGACTTTTGTAGGCAATCGTGATTCTGCTCAAATACTGCTCTCCCTTCTACTGTGTATCACTAGTGCTGCAACTAGTGCGATGTTTTGTGCTTCCACTTGCCTGGGGGATGACCACGTCTCAAAATTCTGTTTTTGTTGCCTGTTTTCGTAGAAATGTGTTGCAAAAAAATGTTTTGCATAGACGTTTTTTTAACCAGTGAAATAATTCCTAGCCGATCCTCAGAGCTAGACCCTTTTTACAGTACTTTTCTACTGCATAAGAATGCAACTTCCTTTGGAGTGACTCCCCCACGGGTGGATCAGCTTCCACGGATCTCTCTCTGGTCTCGGACATGGGATTGTTCCTTGACTTTGGCGGGGGGGGGAGGAAACGAGAAAGGGAAACGTCTCACAGATCTAGCGAAATGAAGTTTGCTAATTTTGTTCTCTTTTTTTGTCTTTGCAGGTGATTCATCGCAAACCGGTAAGACCACTCCACTCTTTTTATACGCGTTCTGTTTGACAGCAGAAGCTTTGCAGACTTGTTTTCAGACGTGCAGTCCTCGATCTCACGAGAACCCACCTCATAAACTTAAAGCAAATAGCAGGATGGTGAAAAGCCAAATGACATTTAGAAACCTGAGCCCTGCTGTACCTACGTGCTCGTTTAAGATGGGTGTCTGCTCAGCCTTGCCAAAGAAAGCCCAGACTGAGGCATCTCCCTGCACCTATTGTGGGGATCTCCCAGCCAGCGTAAGGTTTCGATCTAAGTAGCTTAAACACGGAGAACACGAGAAATTTTCATGCAACCCACAGGCAAGGCTGTGCTGCTCTGCTCTATGTGTCAAATGTGTGCAAGCTTCAGTTTAAAGTGCATGGAAGATGGACTTAACAGGGTTTTGAATTAAGTTTTTTTTTTTTGCTTGACTGCAGAATCGGCTCTTAATTTGCTGAGAGGCACAAAACAGCTCTATTATGGGAGAGAAATTGAATGCTGCAGTGTTACATATCTCTTTGTATGTGATGTATAGTGGTAAATGGTGACAAGGACAACCGCTTTGACTTACAGGGGCTGTTAGGGGTGTGTGTTTGGGAAAGAAAGCTTGTAAGAGATGGTCAATTAAAAAACCAGTGTGTACACACTAATGTGTACAGCCTACAGTTTAATCACAGAATAGAGGAATTTTCCAGATCTGCTCAGCGCC